ATATATCTAAATAATCAAATTATCATTAATAATTGAACTAATGATAAACAGAAAATGTAAGACAAGAAAAATTTGTAAAAATATGCTTACCCCCTTAAAGTAAAAAAAAAACTTAGATAAATTTAAACACTTTTGATATGAATTTACTCAACTAATATCAGTCAAAATATTCTTACCGTCTGTGATCATAATTAAAGTAAAGAAAACAACTCAGATCGATTTAGACATCATCAATAAGAATTCCCTCACCAAATATTAATTAAAATATGCCCACAGTCTGTGATCGTAGTTAAAGTAAAGAATATAACTCAGATCAATTAAACCACCGAAGATACGATTTTACTCAACAAATATTAATAAAATATACTTACAGTCTGTAATCGTATTTAAAGTAAAGAATATAACTCGGATCAATTAAAACACTTTTTGATATGAATTTGCACAAAAAATGTATGCTTACAGTCTATAATTGTAGTTAAAATAAAGATATAACTCAGATTAATTAAATACTGTACCGTTAATAAGAATTTACTCAAAAAATAATAATAAATATTCTTACCGTCTGTAATTGTAGTTAAAGTAAAGAATATAACTCAGACCAATTAAAACACCTTTTATATGAATTTTTCAACAAATATCAATAAAATATTCTTACCATCTTTAATCGTAGTTTACGTAGAAAATATAACTTTGATCAATTAAAACATCTTTGACATGAATTTGATTAACAAATATTGATAAAAACATGCATACCCCTAAAGTAAAAATACAACTCAGATCAATTAAAACACCTTTGATATAAATCTACTCAACAATTTAATAAAAATATTCTTACAGTCTGTATTCGTTGTTGATTAAAGGAATATAACTCGATTCAATTAAAATTCTTTGATATTCATTTACTCAACAAATATTAAAAAAAAAAATATTCTTACAGACTAATCGTAATTAAAATAAAAAATATAACTAGGATTAATTAAACACCTTTTACATGCATTTACTCAATAAATATTAATAAAATATGCTTACGGTCTATAATCGTAGTTAAAGTTAAGAACATAACTTAAATCAATTACTCAGCAAATGTTAATGAATTTATGCTTACCCCCTAAAAGTAAAAGTGTAATTCAGACCAATTAAAAACCTTTAATATGAATTTACTCAATATAAATGAAAATATTTAAGTTAAGAATATAACTCGGATCAATTTAAACATCTTTAATATAAATTTACACAACATACAGTCTTATGAAAATATACTTACTCCCTAAAATAAAGAATATACTCAGGTTAATTAAAACACCTTTGATATGAATAGACCAACAAATTTTAATGAAAATGTTTTTGCCGTCTGTAATCGTAGTTAAATAATATAACTTAGATCAATTAAAACATTATTGATATAAATTTATTTGACAAATATCAATGAAACATTCTTACCGTCTTTAATCGCAGTTAAAATAACAAATATAACCTAGATTAATTAAAAATTTACTTAACAAATATTAATGAAAATATGCTTACCGTCTGTAATCGAATTAACAGAAAAAATATAACCCAGATTAATTAAAACATTTTGCTACAAATTTACTCAACAAGTACTAAAAAGTATGCTCACAGTCTGTAATCGTAGTTAAAGTAAATAATAGTACTCAGATCAATTAAAACACCTTTTTGCATAAATTTACTCAACAAATATTAAAGAACAAACATATGCTTACAGTCTGTAATCGTAGTAAAAGTAAAGATATAATTCAGATTAATTAAAACACTGTTAATGTGAGTCTACTCAACAAATATTTATAAAATATTCTTACCGTCTGTAATCATAGTTAAAGTAAAGAATATAACTCAGATCAATTAAAACACCGTTTTTATGAATTTATTCTTACCGTCTGTAATATTAGTTAAATTAAAGAATGTAATTCACATCAATTAAAACACCTTTAGTATGAATTACACAACAAATATTGATGAAAATATGCTTACCCCCTAAAAGTAAGATTATAAATTAGATTAATTAAAACACCTTTGGTATGAAAAATATTAATAAAAATATTTTTACCGTCTGTAATCGTAGTTAAAGAATATAAGTCAGATCAATCAATACACCTTTTATATGGATTTACTCAACAAATATCAATGAAAATATGCTTACAGTCTATGATCGTAGTTAAAGAACATAAATCGAATCAGTTAAAAAACTTTTGATATGAATTCCTCAACAAAATTAATAAAAATATGCTTACACCCTAAAGTAAATGTTATATCCCAGATTAATAAAACACCTTTGATATGAATTACCCAATAAATTTTAATAAAAATATTCTTACCGTCTGTAATCGTAGTTTAAGTAAAGAATATAACTCTGATCAATTAAAACACCCATGATAAAATATTAATGAAAATATGCTTACTCCCTGAAAGCAAAAATTATAACTCAGATTAATTATAACACCCTTGATATAAATGAACTTAGCAAATATTGACAATATATACTGACAGTCTGTAATCGGAGTTAAAGTAAAGAATATAACTCAGATAATTTAAAACACCTTTGATATGAATTTACCCAACAATATCAATAAAATATTCTTACCGTCTGAAATCATAATTAAATCAAAGAATATAACTCAGATTAAATAAAACATTCTGATATGAATTTCCTCAACAAATATTAATGAAAATATGCTTACCCCCTAAAAGTAAAATTATAATCTAGATCAATTAAAACACTTTAATATTAATTTACTCAACAAATATTAATGAAACGTTATTACCGTCTGTAATTGTAGTAAAGTAAAGAATATAACTTGGATCAATTAAAACACCTTTTATAAGAATTTACTTAACAATATTAATAAAATATGCTTACCCTCTAAATAAAGAATATTACTGAATTAATTGAACACCGTTGATATGAATTTACTCATCAAATATTAATGAAGATACGCTTACTCCCTAATAGTAAAAAATACAACTCATATAGATTAAAACACCTTTTTATTGATTACTCAACAAATATTAATGAAAATATGTCTACCCCCTAAAAGTAAAGAATAAAAATTAGATCAATTAAAACACCCTTGATAGGAATTGCTCAACAAATATTAATAAAAATATTCTTACAGTCTGTAATTGTAGTAAAAGTAAAGAATATAGCGGGATCAATTAAAACACATTTTGTAGGAATTTACTTAACAAATATTAGCGAAAATATTTTCACCATCTGTAATCGAAGTTAAAGTAAAGACAGTAACTCAGATCAATTAAACCACCTTTGATATGAATTTACCCAAGAATATTACTTAAAATATGCTTACTCCCTAAAAATGATAAATATAACTCAAAGTTGATTAAACCACATTCGATATGAATTATTCAACAAATATTAATGAAATATGCTTACCCCTAAAAATAAAGAATACGTATAACTCAGATCAATTAAAACGTCTTTTATATAGATTTACTCAACAAATATTAATGGAATCATTCTTACAGTCTGTAATCGTAGTTAAAGAATATAATTCAGATCGATCAAAATACCTTTAATATGAATTTTCTTAATAAATGTTAATAAAGATATTCTTACCGTCTGTAATCATAGTTAAAGTAAAGAATATAACTCAGATCAATCAAAATACATTAGATAATGGTTTGTCCGTCAAATATTAATAGAATTAACTAATTACCTAAAGACGCGATAACCATTTTTTGCCTAAAATTCATTATTAATTTATGATTAAAAAATATAATAAAATTGTTAATAATGAAAGCGATAACGATGCAAATGCTGTTATAAGCAGTGATTTCTTCCAAAATAATAATAATAATAATAATAATAATAATAATAATAAAGGAACGACTGTGCTCCTTACTTCAATTATGCGACACACCTACGATATTGTGTGTTACTTGTGCATTATTCGTACACTACTTGCACAGCATATTGTGCAAAATTATAAAAGTAGACGGCTTTATTAATGATCTTCACGTGGTCAAAAATCGCGAAAATCTTCTCAAGAATCCAAAAGATGATGTAATGTGGCAGCCAAAAAATAACATAATCGATAGAAAAGATACAATTTTGTTGATTTATGGAAGTTTGATTTTTTGACTGCTTCTAAAGAAGAAATTTATGTGCTGGTAGTAATAATGATTGTGATAAGAAATAGAATAATGTTTCTGATGTTCAAAATTAACAACCGGAAATGATAGTGATGTAGAAAATGACATTGATTTAAGACAAGAAGAAGTTTAATCCCTGTTAAAGGAAATACGAATTCGATATTTTTATAGATGGTGAGATTATGTAAAATATTGTAACGGTGATCGGCGAGTCTGTCGCTAATGATAGTTAAAACTCGCGTAAAAATTGGTAAGTTTTTTTAAAGGGTGAAGCGGATTTGATATTGGCCGAAAAAGACACTTTTCTTTATTAAATTTTGCTCTCTATTTATACCTTTTTTACATGCTAATTACATAATAATAATGGCGTGTACTAATTAATGAAATTTCATGATGTAACGATTGTTAGATAATTTTCACATTTTTTTCCATTACATAATTTATTAAATCGTGCCATGATCCTTGCGCGATCTTGTCACGTGACAAATATCGCGAAAACGTGTCGCGATTTAACTCACTTCCGGGCATTCCTCCTTTTTCCGGCTTACACTAGTTTTCTATCGCACTGTTGTGTTAGATACTGCGGGTTTCTGCGGCAATATCATTGAAACTCAGAATTCAGTGTGAGGCGCGTTACTTTTTCCCGTGTTACAATATTTATAAATCAGCGGATATGAATATAAAAATTTATGAATAGCTACTGTATTCCGATTCCGTAAAATATAGGTATCATCTCATTCGCCATGCGCCTTATATTTTTAATACATTATGCCTTAAAATTATAGAAGATGTGAGGATGAAAGACAAAACTGGTGATTGTAATCAATTCGGAAAAGCGCTCCGGGACCCAACCCACAATTAAATAATCAAGTTTGACGTCTATTATTCCGTAAAATTCCGAATCGTAAGGTGCAAAATTACCTATTTATATACGCATTTGTGTAACAAACTATTATATTTATACGGTATTTTTCTTAACCTAATCTCAGAAAATTTAACTTCCGAATGACTTGTTTTTGTAATAATTTTTGTTGTGCATGGGGTTCTAATGCTCAACAAGATAATAGAACACAGCAAGAATACCAACAAAACCAACAAATTGTGCAACCTCTGCCTCTGCAAATAAACCAAATTGCACAACCACAACCACAACCAATATACTCATATGTCGAGCAACCGCAGCCGGCATATATTATACCTCCATATAACATGCAACCTACCTATGTCGTAGAACAACAATTACAGCCAACAGAATATATGATAATTGGCTAAAAAGATGTTTTATTATTTGGTTTTTCTTATTATGCCGTGCCACTATTGATCTATATCGATGTAAGTTATCAAAATTTTCATTACAAGAGCGAGTATTATTTTTAGCCTATGATTTTTCATTCCGATTATAATCATTACCTTCATATTTATTTCCCCCAATACTGTATAAACCGAATTTCTATACAAGAAACAGATCGATTATTATTACTGGAGATACATATTATGTACAATCCTTAGTTTTCCAGCATTGTGATATTTTTTACTATGGTATATATTTCTTTGATAACCAATATATATATTGTCTTGGAATTGAGTAATTTCAAAATGAGGAGATTGTGACCGATTTTTTTTGAAAATGATCAAGTATGATGAGCAGTGGAAGTACTTCTCTATCTGAAATAAGAAGATTGAATAGAAAAAAGGCACGAATTTCTAGAATATAAACATATTATGAAACCTTATTATGTACATTATATTGTAACATTATCCCTGTATTTATTTTTATATTTTTACCTTGTTAATAAAGCTGCTTTGGTGGCTCGATTTTGCTTATACAGTAATAATCATGAATATACTGTATATGGCGCTCTTTAAATGGGAATTTGATAGTGAAATGTTGACCTGATAGGCATGTATTGGTACGATAATATCTTCTTGTATAAATGCTATCGTCAATATTGCAACAAGAAAACTTATTTTACGTATTGGTTAAGGCGTGAAATCAATGTCAATGTAAGTACAAACATACCAATTTTAACTGTTTTATTATAAAATAAAAAAACATTGATATTTTATAGAAATTTTTTCTTTTAATAAATCATTTTATATTTTATACGATTATCTAATTCCTTAGTAACATTTTTGCGAATAATATTTTAAATTCTATAGACTCTTACAAAAATTACTCTAATTAAGAAAATAAACTTAAAAATTTACAATTAAAACGAAAATTACATTTAAATTTAAATATGATTTGGTTAATAACATGTTGGAAAGAATTTGGAGACATAAGTTATAAAGTTTGGATTTAATTTGAATAGTTGGTAGTGAAGTTTTTTTGAGGAATGTAAGAGTATATAGTAAAAGAGAAAAGTCAGGTTTAAAAGTGATTTTTTCTTATTCAGAATAGATTATGTTAATAAGTCTAGTCGCTTTGTTTGTTTTTTTAATAAGAACACATGTATGGAAATGTAGATCATTTTTTAATTTAATAATATATAAGATAAAAGAAAAGGGTTAACTATATTAAGTTAAGGTATAATCATGTTATGTGGTTGAAGCTTTTCTATTGTTAAGATAAGCTTGTAAAAGTACAAAAAATTTGTAATGTTGGATAATTTATAAATGTTTTTGTTGGTAATAATATATAGAAGTTTGCATTTTTTTCTAGTAATTGGTAAAAGTAGAAATAATAGTTTATTGAATATTTTCAGGTATTTATAGAAAAATTTGATTTGATTTACTTTGTTAGTAAGAAGTATAAATATTAAAAAATAGAAAAAAAAAACAAAAGTTAAATGTAAAAAATTTATCATAAAAAAATTTCATGTAATAATTGTTATATTAAAAAAATACTTGAATATTAAAAGAAATTCAAAACTTGAATCAAAAAAAATTAAATTGTTTATTTATTTTTATTACACTACTTATTTTATTACTTTTAAACATACTGGAAATGATTATTCTTTATTAAAAATAGTAGGCTTTTTTAGCAAAACTTATTCTTGGATGTTTTAACCAATAAGCACAATTTTTTTTTATCTTATTCCAAATAAAAATCTCTTATAATCCATTCTCTTTCTTTAAAAGATTGATAAAAGATAATTATGTTATAATAATTATATGACTGCCAATACAAATAAAAACTATAACCATTAATTATATTGTAAACATTTAAAATTTTTTTAAAAATAATATTTAATAATATTAATTAAAATTTTAATAGTATTGTCATAGGTCAGAGGTCTATTAGTAGTAATGGCAAAATTCTAAACTTTACAATACTTTGACAGGAGTATCTGATATAACAGGGGGGACTTAAAAGCAGAAAGAGGCATAAATTTGACGAGTTTGTGTGATTTGAAGGGATTTTATTGGTCAGAACAGTGTGATAAGTAGGTAATTAATACTTTTTTATTGACCAATTTTTCTGCTTCTTCCTTTTCTACTATATTTCCTTATATCATTTTTATATTTTTTTTTATAGCAAAAAAAAATAAAAGAAATAACAGAAATAACAGAAATAAAGAAAATAAAAGAAATAACAAGGTTAAGAGTTGATTATCCATTTTGGCAATCTCTATAATACATGATTATTGTTTTTTCAATTTATAAGCCATATCGTCGATTGTCATTTCCCTGTAACAATATATTCAATACTATATAATAAAACTTTTCGTGTGTAATACTAATGTTTAGAATACTCAATATAAATAATCAATTGTATCATCATTTATTATATATATATATATATATATATGATAATGAATTTTGTGTAATGATAATTACAATGTGTTGTTTATAAATACATGTAGTTTAATAATTTTATCTTGTAAAAAGGTGTGGAAAAGAAAAGAAAGTAAATATTTCTTTATATTACAAGCACTTATATTACATTTTATTTTTCCCTCCATTTATACATGTTTTTTTTTATCTTATCCATACAACTTCTCTATTGGAAGAAAAATAAAGACAAGTGAGTTCGTTATTTAATTTATCTGATAAGAAAAAATTATGAACTAATTTATTATTTTGTTTTGCGACAATTGTGTTGCATAGCTGCAACCTAAATTTCACACACATCCTAAAAATTAAGGATCATGCCACAAGTATTATATCATGCAATCGTAACCTAATTTTCTTTCTAGCAGTACGTATATTTTATAATAGACTTCCACTATCTATCTACTTGAATATTAATAATCTTCTTATAATTAATTTCATTTTAACAGAACGATTAAATTGTTTTTTCCACGCTACTAATCTCCTTTATAATAGAATTGCTTTCTTAGACATGCAATATGTGCAATCTTAAAATTATAAATATATGACTAAAAACATATTCAAGAACCATACACGACAGAACAAAATCTAATATGTAATTTTTCTCTAATTCTATAATTATATATATATTCTTGGATCACAGAACAGAATCTTACAGAACAAAATATAATAAATAATTTTTTTATATTTTTCAGTCTAAGTCAATTTCACAAGATCTTATAATTATATATATTCTCTGAATCCTTTAGGATTAAATCTGTTAGGCAACCAACCCATTACCTATTCCAAACCAATACATGACATGCAATTTCTAAAAAACTTCTTATGGTTAATTTCACTCTAACAGAATGATTAAATTGTTTTCTTGCATACCATCTATTTACCTAAATATTAATAATCTTTGTTACAACAGAATTGCATTCTTGACATGCAATATGTATGATTCTAAAACTACAAATATGACTAAAAACATATTTAAGAACCATACATGACAGAACAAAATCTAATGGGTAATTTTTATCTAATTTTCTAAGTCAATTTCATAAAATTTCATAATTATAATTCTCCGGATTACAGAACAAAATATAATGAATAATTTTTTCTAATTTTTTAGTCTAAGTCAATTTCACGAGATCTTATAATTATATTTGCTGGATTTTTTAAGATTGAATCTGTTAGGCAATCAACCCATCACCTATCCTAAACCAACATGCAACATGCAATTCCTAAAAAGCTAAGATATAATCAAAGACGCCTTCAGGAACTATACTTGGTAAATAGACTAAAAAATTTTTTTTATTTGGATCATTTACGATGTAAGAAGTTTATAATGATTACTATAGTTATGATTATTAACTTTAATCATAGAAAATCACTTACAGTTAAATATAAATTAATTAGTTCAAATTAATTAAGTATTAATAAATTTGTGTAAGAAACTTATTAAATAATAGATGGAAGTAGTGATAACTCACTTAAAGTTTTAAATTAGTATATATTTAATTAATTAATAATTAATTAAATTCACATATATTAGGCACTTACCAAACAAAAGGCAGAGTTGAAGAAATATTTAAGAGTTTAAAAAAATAATCATTTTAATACGAATCATATAGTTTCTATAGTGTGTAGAAAAAGAAACTGCTCTTTTATATAGATTTATAAACTGGTAATAGATCAGTAATACTTAGAAGGCAATTGTCAGATCTTATTGATTTCGTTTATCCAAACTTAGTTGAAAATTCTGGCAATATGAACTACATGGTTGGCAGAGCCATTTTAACTTCAAAGAATGATGAAGTTGAAAAAATCTCTGACCTGATTATAAACCAGTTTCCAGGCGAAGTTTATACGTATTACAGTGCTAATTATACATGTTGCTGAAATTCATAGATCCTTGACGCAATTGATGCAATTATTTGATGCAATTAATTGAGTCACTATTAAAACATATAAATAATTGAGTCATGATGCAATTATTTTTGAGGATTTTGGGAATTGAGTCAATGGTAAAATAATTTATGCCACATGTATAGTGCTGACTCTGTAGGTTTAGAGAATAGTAATGTGGAACAGCTCCAATTGTATTCCCTTGAATTTTTAAGATTCCTAAAGATTTGTGGTCTCCTTTCTGGCAAATTAAAGTTAAAAGTAGAAATACCTATTATGCTTTTATAAAACTTAGACCCATCAAAAGGACTTTGTAATAGGACCCAATTAATTTGTTATAGACTTCTTAGTAAGGTAATAGATGCAGAAATTATAACAAGTTCATATATTGGACAATGTATTTTCATACCTAGAATTATATTAACACCTTCTGATACCAATTTGCCTTTTACTTTAATGCAACGCCAATTTCCTATACGAGTTGTATTTTTTATGACTATTAATAAAATGCAGGGCCAGACATTAAATCAGGTGAGTCTCTATATGCCACAGCCAGTTTTTTTATATGGTCAGCTGTACGTTGCTCTATCGAGAATCACTTCTTACTG